TTCGGGACATAATTAAGGCCGGCTAGATCAGTCATGATCGCAGCCGTAACAACAACAACAACAGGGTCGTCGTTCAGCACTAGCGCTTGGGGCATTTTAGACGTCAAGAGAGCGTCATAAAAGTGAATCTACGTCAGTGCAACGAAAGTACGCAAATATCTCTAAAAGGAACGTTTTTTCTACGACATTTTGAGTGACTGAAGACCGCACAGACATGGCAACAGCCAGACGCTCCGAACATGCACAAACACAGGCTACTCCTGTGTCCAATCGTGAATATAAGAAATTCGTCCTATCATTCCAGTGCAAAAGAGCCGGTAAAGAAAAGGAGAGAGTAAAACCGTTGCAAGGCTATTTGTGCCCTTTGCGAGGCCTTCAAGAATGAGAAGAACAGAAAAGAAAACGTACTGAACTTGATTTAGGTCAGTAAAGTTGATAGTCGGAGGACAAGGCGCCCCAGCAACGGACCAATCCCAATCAGCGGAGTGGATCAATACAGGGCCGGATTTCACTAGCTGGTCGCTCACAGCATGTTTCACGGCGCTGTCTTCAGCGCCGAGAAGCAGGGACAAGGAGGCGCCAGCGACCGTTCGGGAATTTTTTACAGCCGAAGAGAGCCTGCACGGCGGTGTCAAACGGCAAAGTGAGGGAAAAATAAATGAACGCAGAGTGCAAAAAACTATAGATGGCGTTAATGGTCACAACAGGCTGCTGGCCCCACGGACAGTGGTAGTTTTTCTGGCAGATATCCACAGAATACAATATCTAATACATATTAAAATATGACCTCACGTAGAAAATACACTGACCGTTGTCTGTAGTCTTGCATGACATAGGCCTTGGCCGTCCCCGTTACACCGTCATGGTGCTGAAAGATGGAGAGGTTGCGTCTAGCTGAGGAAAGCATGTCGTAGAGGTTGCTAAAGGTCTTCAAATCTAGCTTGAACTCTTTATTAGGCAACCGGTGTCTTGCCAGGGAAAAGAGGATTTCAGCTGACCTGAAGGTTTGAAAGAAATATTAAAAGGCCGGAACGCAGTTGCTTGCTTGTAATGCGCACTACTGAAAAAAGTAAGCGTAAAAAGGTTGCCTTCAACTATAAGCTATGTCATTTTATGGAATTTAAAAGTTCACAATTAGAAATTCTTTTAAAACTGAAAAATACCCCTTCTTCAAGTATGCAATTTGAAAAAAAAGGATTCAATTTGCTATGAAATGCGTAAAATAAAAAATATCTTCCTTCATTTAGTTGAACTTCCAAGGGCATTGAAAGCCAATTTAGAAATGGCCCTAATACCTAGCTAAGTAGTCATGCTTTACAGTATATAGGTTTTCCGGGCGGTCGGAAATAAACCCTGTCGAAAGCTTGCATCCTCAAATTACTGATATATAGGGACGCTGTTGTGCGGTAGTTTATATTACAACTCTATTCAATAAAAGTTCTGAGAATTTTTGCTGAAATTTCATGCGAGGAAAGCATCTACTGTAGGATGGGACAATGCAGACTGTGACGTTATACAATAAGTACTACTGATTACTGTTAGTAGGCGATCAAATGGCAATACAAAGACCTGATAGAATTTGAAGGCTAGGGCTTGGGTGAGCTCTCGTGATTTTTTTTTCTATTCATTCTAGAAATAAATGCAGGCAGGCCTGAATGAGCAAAAAGCGACACCTTAGTTCAGCTTCCAAGACCCGCGAAAGGGCCTTGTGGGTGGGGCGTGAAGTAAAATATCCACTCCAGTAGTCATGGTTACGGTCGGCGTAGGTAAACAGATCACCGATTAGGGAGGGGAACTTGAACACCGGTTTGCGACTCTTGACCAGACTGAAGTACGTTGACAGGGTTCCGAATTGAACCTGAGGACAAAATAAAACAGGTCACAGTAGAAAGCAGACGGAGAAACACGAACAAAAATATTTTTTTCCTGGGATTTCGACAAGTGAAAATCAGCACTTTGGAAATACAACCACAGGTACACAAGTTCACACAAGAAGACAAACGTCCTTGTAGCCAGCAAATTATGAGAAGCTAACCAGGAGGCCAAAGTAGCAAAAATAGCGAGCGGATGAACAACCAAAAACGTACATGCATTCGCATTTCCGGTTTCGAGTTAATGTAGTCCATCAGTTGTTTATAGTTGCTGAACTGGGCTTCCCACTCACTCTTGGATGTGTAACGGAAGTCATCACCGAGTGGGACAAACAGAACATCACCATTGTCGAAAAGGGTAGCTTTCTTTCGAAATTGATCAGCCAAAAGTTCAGCTCTACAAACGGCAAAAAAGTCTATGCAGAAGAAATTCATCCTACGTCTCTTGCAGAATCTTTACAGTTGATTCATAATCTATAAAATTGGTCCGCCAGTTAGTAGGCGAGTGACGGCGTGGTTGCCACAGGACGGTGACTTGCGCCGTATCTACTGCACCCTCCTTCCCTCATACTCTTGGACTCCATGGCAAAAGGGAGTCATAAGGGATCAGCGCAGTGAATGACAAGGCTAAACAGTCCGTCGACGCGTGCCACACACGAGTTTGGGTCACGCACACGCGAAAGGGTGCAATAAGTTCTACTAATACTTATTAGCAGGCGAATAAAAACAATTAAAGATGTGACTATACACGAACTGTTGCTTTTGATCTGAACGGGCTGCTGAGCGCATGGACGTGGTCATTCGCAACACCAGTCTATGATGCTGACTACGATACCAAATAGGGCATAACCCCGAATCCTACACAGATACGGAGCGAGAAACAAAACCCCCTTCGAAGCCAACTAGGC